ACTTACAAATTTTCCCGCCATTAAGGTCCCGAGCGAACGGGAGTATAACATGTCGCGCGCTGTCAGAGCCATGGGGCTAAGATTAATTATAAACTTCTTTTTGTAACATTTCGCTTAGAGTATTTATCGAGACAAATAATTGATTTAAAATTTATTTTTATTAATAAGAGTGTGCTTGTTGATTTGCGCAGATCGCGTGCTACCTTTACGGCACGTCGCCGCCGGACAACCCGATGGTGCGCGAGGTGCAGTGCGCGGTGGTGCCGCCGCAGTGGGGCACGCACCAGCAGGTGCACCTGCCGCGCCAGCTGCCCAAGCACCCCGCGCTCGCGCACCTGCAGCCGCTCGGCTGGATGCACACGCAGCCCAACGAGCTGCCGCAGCTCTCGCCGCAGGTGAGCGCACACACGCACACCCAAGTGCTCGCACGCATACACTCACCCACACACACGCACACGCACATCCACACCCACTCACTGACACCCATACCCTACACCTGTGTTTGCGCGTCAGATACGCAAGTGCGCACGCAGGTAGACATTCACAGCACGCGCCACGCGTGCACATACACTCACGCGCTTACTCACACACATACCTGACTTGTAGTAGACTTAATAAGAAATCTCTGCCTCGTTGGTATAGTGGTTGTAGTAGTGCGACTGCTGATCATGAGATCCTGGGTTCGAATCCGGGATCGGCCCAAAAAATTAATTATTGAGTTATTCCGTCAAGAAATTCTCAGTAGCTGCCCGGAGTCAGGAAGTTGGCGGTGTCTCACCCCTGTGCCTCGGAAAGCAAGTAAAGCCGTTGTTCCTGCGCCTGATCTCTCTCCGGTTGCGTCGGTTTACCGTCCCATCGGATTATGAGTATCAAAAAAGAGAGTGCACCTGTGGTTGCGCATACACTTGGGCACTATAATCCTGTCCTGCGCCGATGGCTAGTCTCCGTTGAGGCAGGCCGCCATGGCCGAAATTCGGTCTGGGGAACAATATTATAATAGGAAATTACACAATGTACATAATATGTACATAGTGTGATTTATACTATATAATAATTACTACTAATTTACTTGGATTTAATTACTTGACAAAAGACCAAAGGGATGGAAGAAGTACTGTCATGGGATTTCAGATCTCAAAAGCAAATAGTTTCAAAGATTTTTTTATATATGTGTAATGATCATTTCCATGTCTCTAAAACTGTATTTAGGTATTTAAGCGTACTTTCGAGTTTATTATTGTTGCATAATAATTGTTGCATTTAAACATATCAGCGATATAATGCTAATATTTTGTATGTGGGCAGGAATTAAATAATACTCTTTAGAATCTTTAGTTTTAGCTTAATCCTGTTCTGTGGGAAGAGTGAGTGCTTTTGTGTTTGAATTAATATAAGTATCCTCTGGTTACAACTTCCATATAAAATTTTTATCAAGCTTCATGATAGCCGGTAATTTTTTTTAAATCATTCAATACAAGTGTTTAACTACTATTTTACCAGATGGTAAGTAGCAATGCAGCCTAAAGTGATAAATCACACTGAGATAGCCTAACAAATGCCTATTCACTCTTGCCTTTAGACACCTACTACGTTGTTATTGAATAACAACAGATTCAACTTCTTGCAGATATTAGCTATAATTTGGCTATAAGGTTGATGATTTGTTTAAATATATACCACAAGCATTTCTTCATTGTTACATTGTTCTGATAAATGAAATTGGTTATAATATAATTTACTTATTTGTCAGGATATAACAACCCATGCCAAAATCATGGCGGAGAATCCATCATGGGATGGAGAGAAGACTATAATCATCACTTGCTCCTTTACGCCCGGTTCTTGTTCTCTCACTGCCTACAAACTCACGCCTAGCGGTTATGAATGGGGGGCTAAGAATACGGACAGAGGAAACAACCCTAAAGGGTATCTGCCCAGTCACTACGAAAGAGTACAGATGTTGCTCTCAGACCGTTTCCTTGGCTACTTCATGGTACCTTCCCAGGGTAGTTGGAATTACAATTTCATGGGTGAGTTAATATTACAATCAATATATGAAATATTTCATCGTAACAAACAAATATAGTGCTTTAAATACTTTTTACGCATTTAAAGCTAATGCTTAATTACTACCTACTAATTACTACCATTTAATGTTAAGAGGAGATGAAAATGGTAAAGTGCACTTGTTTAGCAAATGACTTGTCTTGAAAACGCCCACATAATCTGATGGCACTGGCAATAAATCATCGCACGAATTCAAAGTCCACAAATGAATAACATTTATTTAAAACGGGGTAGAATTCATTCTTTCAGATATTTGCAGTTAAATGCTACCAATGTATTAAATAACTTTAAAGTTAATCTCTACGGAATCTTATTGTCAGATTGGCAGCTACTGCTAAATACTACTGTTGGCAGTAAATTAAGTTAGTTTACTTGATTTGTTTTTATTTTAAACGCAACCCCACTATGATCTTCTCCTGTATCGTGGAGGCAGCTTACAAACATAGATTTCACAAGTGTGGTTTCACAATATTTTTTTCCGTACGGGATTCGAATCCGCGGCCCTCTGCGCGTATATATACTTTAACGGATTTTTCTTAATTTATTACTTAGTTAGATCTCAAAGCTAAGATTCTTCTACTTACCTCAACTCATGTCTTAAAAATAAATCTTGATGTAGTATGTCCCCGCACCTACCTAACACATAATTAAACATTTGTTATTTAATAAGGGTAAAAATCCTTTCTTGTTCATAAACAATGAAAAAAGTAAGAATTTCTCCTTGTCGCGTCTATTCTTATATTTGTAATTTATCTTCAGGTGTTCGGCATGATCCTAACATGAAATATGGTGTACAATTGGGCAACCCTCGAGAGTTTTATCACGAAGTTCACCGGCCGGCACACTTCATGAACTTTGCTGCTATGGAAGACGCCACAGCTCCAACTCTCGCCGCTGACAGAGAGGACCTTTTTGCTTAGAAAATAATGCTTAAATTTTTTAAAACATCTGATTTCCTATAAATAACTTTGTTAAGAGATGTTTAGTGTCAAATTTGAATTGAAAAGTTTTGTATTATATAAGAGTATGTAATAAATTTAAATAACTTTTAAATGTACTTTTTTTTTGCCTAACATAGTTAAATGCACTGTAGTGTGTACCTCAGACAGGTTTTAAAATTTTTCATACCGATATACGAGGGTGGATTGAAAAGTACTCGGCCTAATACAGATCCATTCAATTCTAAAAATCAAATCTACCCACATTATTTAGTTCAGTTCAGACTAGTTCATTGTGTGAAGTTCGAAACGTGTGCGATAATTAGTTGTGATTCTATAAATTTATTAACAAAGTAATCGGGACATAATTTCCGCGAATGGAGCAAATCGAGCAGCGTGCCGTCATTAAGTACCTCCATAAGAAGGGGCTATCATCAAAAGCCATCCATGATGACATGTTCAGTACATTAGGCGATTGTGCTCTGTCATATTCATCCGTCAAAAAATGGATAGCAGAATTTAAGCGTGGTAGAGAGAGTGTGAAAGATGAACCCCGCTCTGGAAGGCCTTCGACGTCAACTACTGACGAAAATATTAAAAAAGTACTTGATTTAATAATGGGAGACCGCAGATTAAAAATTAGAGAGATAGCCGAGATTATAGGCATCTCTTATGAACGAACTCAAAACATCATTGTCAACGAGTTGGGTTTCCACAAGGTGTCTGCGAGGTGGGTTCCGCGACTGCTTTCAGTTGAACAAAAAAAGGACGCGATTGACTATTTCACGCGACTGTTTGGAGTTATTTGAAGCCGATGCAGATGATTTTTTGAATCGTTTTGTTACTATGGACGAAACATGGGTTCATTACTGTACACAGGAAACAAAACAACAATCAAAACAGTGGAGAAGACCTGGTTCACCACCCCTAAAAAGGCTAAGTCGATTTTGTCGGCAAATAAGGTGATGGCTTCAGTATTCTGGGACTCGAAAGGTGTGATTATGATTGATTATCTTGAAAGGGGTCAGACTATAAACTCTGATTACTACTGCACCTTACTACGTCGTTTACGAGAGGAAATAAAAGAAAAACGTCGAGGAATGCTCAGAAGAAAAGTCCTGTTTCATCAAGATAACGCCCGTGTTCACACGTCAGTACAGTCAATAGCTGAAATTCACAACTGTGGCTTTGAACTGTTACCGCATCCGCCGTATTCACCTGATCTGGCACCATCAGACTTCTTTCTGTTCCCTAACCTAAAAAAGCACTTGGGAGGTCAAAGATTTTCGACAAACGACGAGGTCAAAGCAGCTGTAGACGCATATTTTGACTCTAAGGAAGAATCATTTTTTTTCAACGGTCTAAATGCTTGGAAGGGGAGGTGGCAAAAGTGTATTGAACTTGATGGTGATTATGTAGAAAAATAAAAATATAACTGATTTAGTATGTGTTTATTTTCTTGGTTAGGCCGAGTACTTTTCAATCCACCCTCGTAAGTATAAAATAATACATAAACAATTTAAAAAAATCCTACATCAAAAATGTGCAGTATGAACTTGTGAAACAACACAATTTTTGAAATTACGTTACAATGCTTTCTATGGACAACAGAGTGATAATTTTTGCACAATTTCCCTGATAAACAATGACTGACCAAAAATGATGTAAAGACTAATTATGAATGAAAAGTATTGTTAGGAATGTATAGGTGAAAGGTATGACATTAGTAGAGAAAATTATCGAATGTTAGCATTCCATATCTAATTAGCCTGATCAGCAGAGAGCTTGGAAAATCTAATAGCCCACTAATTTAATTAGTTTGGGTGCGATGAAATGCGAAATGAGTTTTAACCCTTAATTTGACAATGTCTAATATATTATACTAAATTTCGTTTTGAGCATACTCTATGGCAACATTTTACCTGTTGAAGAAAAGTATTTTATTGTCTGTGCATTCAATGTGACATAATATTTCTCACATAAAAGTTTTTGAAAATGAATCGTCAACGGACAGCTATGGTAAGTTATGTTTTTTATTTTTTTTATTCAGTAATTGTTTTGATTTCGCATAAAATTTTATTGAACGGCAATCAGATATAATAATTAAAATAAAAAATGCAGTTTTATACACTGACGAGAGTGTTAGACAACATTAAAGTCCTTAGTATAACGGGCTATACAAATCGCTATTCACAACAAAGTTGAGTTATAAATATTGGTATAACGGGCTAAACATTTTGCTATATTTAACAAAGTAACAAATTTACTGTTTGTAAAGAGGGCTTTACATTTCATTATAGCTAGAAAGTAAAACTAGTTAATGTGTGTATATAATTTTAAACATTTTTTATTAATTTATTAAAATATTTTATCTTTGTAACGTTGAGTTGTTAGTGTACAGTTAAGTAATGATGCGAGATGAAATAACTAAATAGATAAATATCCCTTTTCAAATAATGATAAAAATATTGTTTACTGTACCACTGCGTCTCATTTCTCGGTAGGTAACGAGTTAAAGTATACAATTGCGCCTGCATAATTCTAGGTGTGTTTTTTTGCGTTTGTTTCTTGCTTGGGTTGCGGATTATAGCATGTGTTTTCTTTTAATAGGGTAAACCCCCAACAAGGAGTCATCGCATTCTCGCTTTGGTTCCACCTGAACATGGAAGATCTGATGCCAGTGATGAATCTTCTGGGGAAGAGGGTGAGGAATCTCATCTATTTCGAAATTGCGTATTTTCAGACACATCTTCTGAAAATCCTTCAATTGACTCATCCCTAGAGCGACTGAACTTATCTGAAGACAATTTCGGACCCACTCTTGACCCTGATCAAAATTTCTTTGCACAGGAATCAAATTCAGAAGATGAAACTGCACCGTCCCATATCCGTCGTCCATGTTTTATACCCGAATCTGATACTGAATATGAGCATTCATCACCACACATTCTACAAAACACTATTTCGCCAAAAACGAATACCAACTATGCTGGGGATGAAATTCAAGTGATATTACCAGAAGAGTCGTCACCCATTGCAGTAATGTCTTCTTGCTCATCCTGGAATGGAGACTTACCATCTATTCCGTCTAATATTTCATCTCTTCCCTCTGGACCGTTTCCTACGCCATCAACATCAGCTGTGAGTAAAAAAAAATCTCCCGCAAAAAGATTGTCGAAACGAAAGATTACAAAACAACAACAGCCTGCTCCTACTAAAAAGAAAACAACATATAGACATAACATTGTGCAACCTACTTATGAGTTAAAAAATACTAAATTCCTTCATCGTGCTGAAATTTCAGAAGACACTTTTAACGCTGACATTCCTGTGAACAAATCTCCACTACAATACTTTTATGATTTCTTTTCCGAGGACATACTCGATGAAATAGTACAAAATACAAATTTATATTCTGTGCAACAAAGCGGTCGTTCTATTATAGTGACGAAGGATAATATGAGAGATTTTTTATCAATAAAACTCATGATGGGGATCATTTCTGCTCCATCTTATCTAGATTATTGGGCGTCAAAAACCAGATGTGGATTTATCGCAGATTTAATGACTCTTAAAAGGTACCAGCAAATACGCAGATACTTGCACTTTGTGGATAATACAGTTCCTGATACAGACTTATACTTTAAAATACGACCATTTATTGAAAAAATTAGAAGAATTGCTTAAAAGTAGAAGAAGAAAACAGATTCGGCATTGATGAAATGACAATACCGTACAAAGGTCGTAAAGCTGGAAAAAAGAAAAAGTACAACCCTCAAAAACCACGCAAATGGGGTTTTAAGAACCTAGTAAGAGCGGGAGTATCAGGAATCATATATGATTTCTTTTTATATTGCGGCGAAGATAGTTTTCGTTGCTCAGATATTCACTTTGACAATGATGAAATGTTACTTGGTTGGGGGGCTAAAGCTGTAATCGCATTATGCAAAAGTATTAAACGCAAGGCTTGCGTAGTATATTTTGATAACTTTTTTAGTTCTCTTGCTCTTGTACAAATGCTGCGCCAGAAATATGGAATATTCATTCTTGGAACTATTAGATCTAATCGACTTAGAGGCTGTGAAAAACAACTAATAGATGACAAAACTTTAAAAAAAGAGGAAGAGGTGCGTTTGTTCAATTGGTATGCAACGAAAATCAAATTTCTGTCGTAAAGTGGTATGACAGCAAAGTGTGTAAAATTAGTGAGTTCATGCGTCGACTCATACCCAAATGACACCACAAATAGATATGACAAGGTTGAGAAGCGTAAATACCGGTAAATCTCCCCCAAATTGTGAAACATTATAATGCTCACATGGGAGGAGTGGATTTGGCTGACATGTTGGTAGCTTTATACAGAACTGAGATGAAATCAAGAAGGTGGTATTTGTCGATTTTTTCTCAAATGATTGATATTTGCATTAACAATGCGTGGCTAATGTATAAAAGAAATATGAAAAGGCTTAAGAGCGCATATTCAAATATGTCCAAGTCGAAATCTACGCGATCGCTTTGGAACGGCGTAATATTGACGCACACTACAATGTTATCTCTGTGTGCGTGTCAGGGCGAGTTCGACGCTAGTTGCTTTTAAGCTGGCTTTCCACTATGGGATATAATACATATTATATCCCGAAATATAAATTATATCCCACGATTGCCCTTCACACTGTGAGGTATATCTTTTAACCAGTGTGCGTTCGTCATTGGATGATCTGAGGACGTAGCGGAGGCGCGGAAGGGTGTGCGGGGTACAGGAGGTGAAATATAATATGAAAATATCGCTCGGTCGATCGAAAAAATATTTATAGTTTGGGATGTAATATATATTATATCTCAGTGGAAACGGTTCCATTTAAAAGTACGGTGAGCGATATTAATTTATATATCGAGATGTAATGTAAATTATATTATATCCCATAGTGGAAAGTCGGCTTTAGTCGCACGAATCATTTTTATATTATTAGAACTAAAAGAATAAAAAAATAATTTCCACATAATACAGTATATAGAAAATAGAAATTGGAGGCTAATATGTTGAAATTGTTTTATTCTTTTAGTACATTGAAGTCGGCTTTACATTTTCACCCTATTGAGTTATTTAACATATAGATAACATATAGAACATATTTTATATTATAAAATATGTTCTAATTAAAAATATGTACTATATAAAATATATATCATTTGATAAACTTTTATTCTGTTTCATAATGTAAACATAATTCATTAAACTAACAATTTCATTAGTGTCGGCGGGGATTGAACCCGGATTGCTCGCGTTTATGGCGAACACTTCGCCCTTGAGCTACTCAACTTAAGCACGGCTTATATCTTTTTTATGTCTTTGTTTAATCATCACACTAAGAATTTTTCCTAAGTACATCGTGGAGGTACTTTAAATACATTAATTTCACAAGGACAAACATACAGACCCGGAACAATAATTTGTAGGTTACAGAAATTTTTGTTCCGTCTGGGATTCGAACTCGCGGCGCTCAGCGCTACAAATCATTACCAAATCACTCCGCCACGGAGTCAAAGGTGAAAGCCAACGATTTTGTATTTTTAATAGAGCCGAATTGCTTATGTTTATTACCCATTTCTAAAAAAAATATGTATGAAATGTAAATTTGCTACCATTAAATCATTTATTATTTAAATATTACCATTACCATAAACATATTTCAAAATTACTTACTACCAAAAATATCGCTTAAAAAAGTCTCAATCGTTTAAAATGCTTGATGGTGCTATAGGTAGTTAATTATAGTATAGTGTAGTATATCCCTATCGGAGTATCAACGCGATCGCGCGGTGTCGGTGAGAAAAAGTGATACGTCCTGTCGTTGGGATTACCCGGAGCGTACTGAATCGAACGGCGTATGTGCGTGATGATTTACAGTATTTTTAAAATAATTGTATAAAAAAATTGACAAAATAAAACCAGCTAAAACTTTTTTTGGATTTTTAACATTACATGTATTTTGATAAAATAATTAAAATAGATATGTTTATAACTAAATACACGGAAAAAATTACATTGAAGTAGACAGTTTTGGTGATTTTATAATATTGTTTTATAATATTAAATCGAAATATATTCGTAATTTAGGTTTTGCTATACACTAAAAGGCTATATATTCCATTATACTAACGCTTAAAATAAAGTATTTTAGCTTATATTAATGGTTGTATTCAACATGAAAGATAACTCTAACGCATATTTTCGTAAAACGCTGTGAAGGGATTGTCTTCGCCCTAAAAAACCGTCAATAAAAACTATGATTTTGCATTGCTATGTACTAAATAAAGACTTCATCTTTCTAAAGCCCTAATTTTCGGCAAATAATCTCTTCACATCGTTACGATATCGCCCTTGGAAAAACCCTAAAACATGTAGTTTTCGACGCGAAACGCATATGCCCTCTTAAAGAAAAACCGATGATGCTAAAAAATTCAGACTAAATGTCAGCGAAGAACTTATAAAATTTGGACGACCCTCTTTGCCAGTTGAAGTACCGTGCATATCTTCGTCCAAAAAGATTGCTGCATTTGCATATATATATATATATATATATATATATATATATATATATATACAGAATGGGGTCCCACATATATGCAATAAATGAAACCACAAGTAATACTAGTCCGTAGAAGTGTAGAAAAATTAAATATTAAATTAAAACCCGTAAAATAAAAAAGTGAAATTTTCAAACAAAATAAATATTAAAATAAATTCAGTAAAAGTGAACGCTCTGTTTAGACAACGTACCTTGACCCCTTCGAAGAGTGACAACGTTGCACGCGGTTCCATATGCCGTTTCGAGTAAACGTGCTTTCATCTGTCCAAAACACATTTGTTAGGAAACGTTGGTCTTGAGACATTTTTTCCAGTACCCAGTGGCAGTAAGATTCTCTAATCGGCTTATCGCGGGGCAGCAGCGCCTGCACCTTAACATATTTATAAGGACGTAGTTTGTTCCTTTTCAGCACTCGGTGTATTGTTTTATGCCTCACTCTAAACACACGCCCAGCTTGTCTAAGGCTGCAGGTTGGATTCCGATCGAAATGGTCTAAGACTCGTTGTTCGAACGAGGGTGGAAAGTGACGCGGAGCAACTCCTTCATGAGTGTTGGGCACTATGCGCTGATTTTCCCTGATTCTTTGGACAGCACCTAGGATTGTCCGGACGCTAGTAGGGCAGACGCGAGTTGCGCCGTATCTCTCACTATAAGTACGCAGAGTTAACGCTGAATTTTGGTGGCATTCGCCATACAATAAAACCATGTCTGTATACTCTTCCGCACTGTAAAAATGCTGTTGTCTTGGCATTTTCCGCCGCCAAAACGTATACACAAAATTCAAGTAGTGTCAATATCACAGTGAAAAAATAACCTACTTAAAAACACTATTTACACACACAAAGTCAATTAACTAATAAGTGTCTATTTCACCGTAAAAGAATTGTTCGACTAATTGTATTTATTAAAATTATCTTAATAAATGCGATGCGTGTAGGCAGCGAAACACACCTGTATTCTGGGAGAATTGCGCGTGAACTGGAAGCCGAATTTCCAAATTCCAAAATGGCGAAAATAATAAAAGTAATAAATAGGGCGGCCACAAGGTGCAATTATCGTTTATCGATACTTTTCTTTTTGCACTTACTTACCTACTACATTTGAATACAAGTAATTTTGATTTTTGATTTGATAACAATCGACAAGTTATTGATTGTTAATAAAAAGTTTATTTTTATACAATTGAACTTACGAAACTACCGATTTGTAACTTCCTGGGAAACGGGAGTATGTATGACTTTTTAATTGGTTGTTTTTATGGGTTTTTAGCATGTTAAAATAAAAACATTTTTTTTGTTTATCGATTATTACTCCCTTTGAAAGAAGCTAATCGTCGATAACTGGTGTCCTACTCTACGACAAAGGCGCGCGCGCAATTGCGCTGTCGCCTTTGAAGTACGCCGCGTGCCGCTTGTTTATGGACGCCGACAAAAGACACCGCTGTCGATATGTCGCAATACCAATAGTTTGCACTGCGTGGCAACGTCGCTTTTTAATGTTCAAGGATTCAAGTTCATTGAATCATTGACTTAGTGACCCAATTCTATAGAGAGTTCAAATTTGCTTAAAATTAAAACTCTACTTTTTGACCTAATTACTGGACCGATTACGTTCATTTTTTTGTATATCGTCAGCAAAGGCGATAACAAGTATATGGTTTCATTTATTGCATATATGTGGGACCCATTCTGATATATATATATATAGGGGCAAGTCTATGTGTAGCAGTGCACTTTTGACAGCTTGTAACGTAATTTTTAGGACTTTAGCTTTTCATTAGGACCCATTGAAGTAATATGTACTTACGTACTAGAACAGCTATCTCAAACAAAAAATGTGCGCTACTCTGTGTTCACGCGGTTGTTTTTTTATCATAGAATAAACATAGGTAGAATGACCCGTAGGTAGTAGATTGTATTGTTAAATAGGTAAATTATATCGAGAAAAATATTTAAATTTTGTCATTTATTTTGTATATTATATTTGCTTATTTAATATAATATTACATGATATTATATAACAATTACATTTTAATGATATTTTTATCTAAATTCTTGAAAGGTATCTAAGTAAAATATAAAAAACATACTAAATATATGTTTAACAAAACTTATTAACATAAAATTTAAATTACAAATATATTTATTTAAATTGGAATAAAAGTCGTTCATAAATGCTATAACTCTCGCGTCCCCAGAGTTAAAAATGGACGAATTTATTCCGCTTTGACTTTGATGTGGAAACCTAAAAATAATATAAAAGAATAATGAGCATATTTAAATACAAAAATTGGCCTAATTATGATAACTCATATATAATATGAGTATATAACATTATAAAATATGTGTATAATAAAATATTCGTCCTATACTTAAGTACCCACAGAAATGTCGCATCTGTACAAATTAATTTCATAATCTGTATCACATGACACGAGATGGCGTCTTAGGAATAATTTGTTTTATTAATAACTTATAATACTTTTTTATTTATTAAGTATCTTATTAACCGATGAAAAGTAATACCTTGGTTTTTACTGACATTTCTTTAATTATTTGTGCAATATCTAAGTACACACGACTGCATATTTTTATCAAGAGATTTTTTTTAATCTGCACAACACGTGACAACTCTCTACAAGCGCCTAGCGAGTGACTGATTAAAGTGCGGTGCATGCACCGCAGTTGAGTGGAACAGAGTAGCTGAATGCAGTGTCGCCTCTAGTACGTAGTACATAATAGCTCAATGTTATTAAAGAAAATTCCCACATAACTGAATGATATAACATTATAATATTAACGGGTTTTCGCTATTGGTAGACGATACGTCACGGAATAAATAATAGTACGATACGTGCTCGATGTGCTACCATTTCTAATCCCATTTTTTATCCGTACGGACTTAGACTATTTACAAAGAAATCTTAAAGAAAGATAGCCGTTTTGGATTGATATATACAAGTTATTTTTATCGCTCAGGCGCCTTAGGAACTTGAATGACTGCCGTCGTCGACTGTCCACTGGGTTGGCCAGTCGTCAAAATCTCCCAAAAACTTTGCAATATGGAAGCATCAGCATATTGTGAAGAAAAAAACCTTTAAGAACGAAGATCCCGAATGAAATGAAGATATGGCTTAAAAGACAAGCATCCAAGCTTAAAATCAATATATATAGACCATGAAGGTTAGAGTGGTTAGAGAACAGGTAAAAGTAGATGAAGTTAGTAGAATAATGTACAAATTTTCTTCGCGGCATTAGTGAGAAAATTTTCATGCTCCGTAATTTTTTTAATTTTTAACAAAAAGAGACATTAAAAAATAGAGAAATGTTTATGGTGCGTGGATGTGCAAGTCCACAAGCATCTGATCGGAAAAATAGACTGAAAATGACTTTTATTGAGCGAATTTAGCGATCGCAGCGCCTCACTTATGGTGTCCATATTTCTGGGACACTATTTTCTACGGATATCGTTCTCCTGTTCTCTAACCTTCATGCTGTGTATTAAAGTGTCCCAAGAAAATCGTTAAACAAGGATGGCGCCACTATAGTTACGGGTTAAATTTTAAAGAACGTGCCGAAAAATATTAGTGGAATAGACGACTTTTCCGAGGTTATACTTACTAAATAAAATTATTTTAGATTTTAGAGCTACTGAGCAGTTTAGCACGCAGATAAGCTAGGTTTAGCAGTACACTTCAAACCGTCGACAACTGCTAAGTTTATTTCATCCCTGTAGCTACTCAAGCGCTGTTGTGGAGAGTTTTTGAACTGATATTTATTGCTTACAGATGGACACTTTTTCAACTATTCTCCTATGCGAGATTATTCTCCTTACTTCTACACTCCATACTAAGGAGTGTAGAAGTAAGGAGTACAGACTGTGTATTAAAAAGTGTCCATAGAAAACCGTTAAATAAGGGTAGCACCAATATAGCTACGGGCTAAATTTTAAAGAACGTGCCGAAAAATATTAGTGGGATAGACGACTTTTTCTAGGTCATATTAGCTAAATAAAATTATTTTAGATTTTAGAACTACTGAGCAGTTTAGCAGCACACTTCAAACCGTCGACAACTGCTAAGTTTATTTCATCCCTGTAGCTACTCCAGCGCTGTTGTGGAGAGTTTTTGAACTGTTATTTATTGCTTACAGATGGACACTTTTTCAACTATTCTATGAGAGATTATTCTCCTTACATCTACACTCCATACTATGGAGTGTAGAAGTAAGGAGTACAGACTGTGTATTAAAAAGGGTCCATAGAAAACCGTTAAATAAGGATGGCCCCACTATAGCTACGGGCTAAATTTTAAAGAACGTGCCGAAAAATATTTGTGGGATAGACGACTTTTTCGAGGTTATATTTGCTAAATAAAATTATTTTAGATTTTAGAGCAATGAGCAGTTTAGCAGCACACTTATCGTCGACAACTGCTAAGTTCATTTCATCCCAGTAGCTACTCCAGCGCTGTTGTGGAGAGTTTTTGAACAGTTTTTTACTGTTTACATATGGCAACTTTTTCGATTGTTCTACTATGGGAGTTGGTACTCCTTTTCTACACTCCATACTCCATACCTCCATGTTTTGTTTTGTATGTGGCTGTCAATGTCAACTGTCACTGATCATTGCTGTCAAATAGCGATGTCAACCGATTACAATTTTATGCACCGGTATAAACTGATTAGTAATTTAAAAAAAACCGGTTTTCTTAGGTATTTTTTTTAGGTTTTTAGGACATGACAATGAAAAAATTGAGTTTCTTTAATACTTATTAAACTTTATTCAATAAAAAAAAAACTTATTTTTATTTTTAGTTAAATGATTAAATCATAATTTTGGTGGATAAAACAAAGTTGATCTACTGCATCACCTGGCAACAATTCGCGATGATAAGAAATAGCCGGACGTTGAAAACATTCGTTTCGAAGTTACAGAAGTCACTGGCACTGACAGATATTTTAAAACCATGTTATTAAGCGCCGCCAAATGTTTATTTGTTTTTAGTAAGTGTCAGCAACTTCTGTATGTTTGTATTCTCGCTCAGGCAATTGATAGAATCAGAAACCTTCCGGTAAATAAATACAATGATGTGTCTTCATTCCAGGTAAGATACATCATTGTATTTATTTAGCGGAAGGTTGCAAAGAAATTTATATTTTTATTATTTATTCTCGCTCAGGGTCAATCTCGGTTTCCATATACATGCGCAGTATGTTCACTGCAGAAGCAGTCGCATATGGAACACCACTCTCAGTCCTTCTTTGTTTTAAGAAACCATCCAACAGACGACTTCTAAAAAAAATCACAATTGCTATGCATTTTTTGATAACTTCTTCCGCCTGTGCGAGCTGTAACAATTCTTCGACGTGTGCCGGCACACTTTCAATGAAATCACACTTTTTTCATAATTTAAATATTATCAGTCACAATAGCAGCAACTTTGTTATGAAGTTTCCATTCCATTCCGATCTTTTTCATGATTTCAGCCAAATTTCAGAAGTATGCGAATTAGTAACTTCCGATGTTGTCAAAACGACTAATTTTTTCAGATAACATTCATGAAAAAATGTACCGTACATTTCATTTCACGGTACATTTGACCATAGATCTGTGGTTAGTGCGACGTATTCTGCATTTTTTAAGAAACTCTCAAGCTGCGTCTCACCTTTGCCTATAAAGCGGGTATCAATTCGTATCTAATTTTTTCTCTTAAAGCCAGTACATAGTTAGGATTAAAGGCTTCTACAAACCTTTTGAAGCCTTTGTCTACTACTACGGAGAATGGCTAGAAATTGGTGGCGATCATCAATGTAAGACATTCATCTATTTCCTTTTTGATACTCCCCATCGTCATTTTCAACTTGCTTTGAATTAAGGTTTTCCGTGGACTTGGTCAGTATTATTTGACGTGAGCGGGATAGATTGCTCATTGTCATTGATAGCATGCTTCTCAGGATTGACTGGCACTGTTGCCTGTGGATGACTTCTCTTGAGATGAGCCAATATATTAAACGTCCCTTCGCCAACCCTGATAATTTTTCCATATAACTGACATTTAGCCGAATCATTATTCAATTTTTCAAAATGATTTCTTGTAAGAGATTTTCCTTTTACTTTTGGAATCCTGCAAACAAACAAAAATCGATCAAATTAATTGGTTACTTTATAGACCACAGGTAAAATTGAAATGAAACTGCTTTATTATTTAAACAAAACATAATAATGCTAATTACCTTTTGTAGTTCTTTTTCTTGTTATAAACAAGGCACAAACAATTATTTGAGGCAGTTAAATACGACACAAACTTTAATGCTTTGCAAAAAATATTGCAGAATTGTACAATTGTCTCTGATCGGTAAATCCCCTATTGCTATCGGGCGACATTTTCGGGATTCTCCAACCACTGCTATTCATAAGGATTCTGATACACGTTGTAAAGTTATAAGGTTGCCAACATGCAAAATAAATCGGTTATTTAACTAGAACCGGTACATACCGGTTTTATCAAAAACCGGTTTTTATCAGGTTTTCTTAAAACCGGTTGACATCACTACTGTCAAAATAGAAGTGATTCAGTTCAATGCGGTTGTTGCAAATACAATTTTTAAAGCCTTGTGTTTAATTTAGTTCGTTTGTTCTTTTATAATTCGTTTGCTTTAAGCTATGGCTGACCACGACGATTTCGAAGATAATCAGTACCCCGATAACGATGAGTTTGTACCATACGTTACAGCCGGCAACTTACCTCAAAGAAATGGCGCGAAAGTTACACTTTGGGGAAAAGTTACTAAAGTTTCGGCAAGTGAAGGCTTCTATGTCAAAACCGTAGATGATCAAGAAATTCTTATAAGATTAAAAAAACCCCTTAGTGAGGCTTTGGAAGGCTGGTATGAAATATACGGAGTGTCTCAGGGCAAAAGTGTTCTTTGCGATGAATACGTACCATTTTCACATGATATGACAAAAAATATTGATACTGAGGGTCATAAAAGTTTAGCCAAATTGCTTGCAGCTCTGGATGACCCCTGGAATTTAGGAGAACATCCGAACGCAATGAATGGAGTTACACCGATGGAGTAACGTTGGTAGTGTTGTGCATTTTGTTTCAAATATTAGGTATATTAGAACTTATCCATGTTTATAATATAAACTTAAAAGTATGAAAATGATATTCTTGTTTTATTATAAGAGAAAAAGCTAAGAGATTTTATGTATAAATAGTGGCTTCAGCTACTGAGTCTATTAGAATGTTTTATATTGTCAGCATTACATAAACCTCTGATCTTTATTCTTCAGTCTATTGAACTGTACTAAATTATATTTGCTTTGAATTTCACTGAAGAAATAGTCGCAATGAAAGGGTGCAGACTGTAAACTTAAAAATTGTAGGTTTAAATTCATCATTAGGCTCTTAACACAAGAAATTTAGCTGCTGCGAAATGGCTAGTATTTTTTTATAATATATACGATGATTGTCCAATAATTTTTCTTAACCATCACAATTAACATTATAATGTAATAGATACCTGGCGGGGTTCAACTCATGTGAAATTGAGATAAAAGCAAATTCATTCCTTTTTTTTTTCAGAAGTGCCTATATACTTTCATGAATCTATTACCACCAAAAAAAATTTCGCTATAGCTGTATACTTGGCATCTATTTTATATGTATATTACAAAATTAAAATTACTTTCTGCTTAAATGTGTAAGTTTTTATTAAACTCACAAATAAAGCAACCAATCAGCTCATCTTTCTTCAAACTGATTGTTATAAATATGCCAATTTCATAATAAAAACTAATTTTCATTACAATATATATAGCCTACCACTTGGGAAAAGTGTAAAAGAATTATTAGAATTCGCCCAGAATTTCCAAAGATTATGTCCTATAAACCAAATTATAAACACCTACCTGTTAATTGTAATATCATCATCATCATCATTACAGCCCCTACAAGACCACTGCTGAACATAGGCCTCTCCAAGGAATGCCACAAAGAATGATCCTGAGCCGTCTGCATACATCAACTTCCTGGATACCTTACCAGGTTAACACTACATCTAGTGGGGAGTTGCCCTACACTTCACCTACTGGTGCAAGACTGCCACTTGGTAACATATTTTCCCCATCAGTTGTCGCTTCTTCGAGCTATATAGCCAACCCATTGCCATTTTAGCTTACTAATTCATTGGGCTATGCTGGTCATTCTGGTTTTGGCGGATATCCACATTTGTAATAATGGAGATAAAAATCCGGAATACAGTTTTTATGTTAAATCAACTAGGTCTTAGCAGTTTTTTGGTGTAATTGTATCCGATACATAGTTTTTTTTAACATTGATTACATTAGATTTTGTGAACTTAGTAATAACAGAAAATATACACAATGTAAAAATTCTGGAACTACAGGCATTCCTATTTCAATTTTTATTATGTTATAGTGTATTTGCATAGCGTGAAGCCTATACTCACAAGTGTATTAGGGTATAAGATTTATAATAAATATTTTATAAAATAAAAGTTCTTTTTTTAAATATTTTACTTAAGAACAGAACCGTAGTATATTATCTATGAACAGATTTAATTTTTACAAAAAAATTACCCACCAGTCCTATATCATGGATGTGTTATACCTAAAGAATTGAACTTATGTTGCCTTGGAGTATATATAAGCAAACTTAGATTACTATACTCTAAGATCTGTACCTTTTACTATCAGTGGAGCACACCAAAAAATCTAGTAAATGGATGTTTTTTTTTTAATAGAAGAGGGGCAAACAAGTATACGGGTTCGCAAACCTGATGTTAAGTGACTACCGCAGCTCATGAACAACCGAAACATCAGGTGAATTGCAGGTGTGTGGTGCTGTGAAATTTTTCTCAATCATCAGCCTTTCAAAGTCGACTTCTCGAGATATTTTAGGGAAGATTTGTTTTCGTCACGTTTGTCAGGCGGATTGACGATTATACATAATTGGTGCTACTTGCCATCGCCGATCATAGTATTTTACGCCTGGCGTATAGTGATAGTTATACCTAGGGGTGGGTGTTGCGACGAACCGTTTACAAAGACCGTTTTGTGTTCTGCGACGACGAAACCGTTTTACGTTCTGAGTTCAACCCGACAACGACCTCGAAATACGACAACGACCTACCACTAGTCATACAGCCATCAAAGCCATAACATCTTTCTGGCGTTTCCAGTGGATGAAACGTGCGTGATACCTTAACACCGGTGTCACTTCTAAACATACAGTACTGTGAAATTAAAGTACTTATATATTAAATACGCAACCTTAAGGCATAAGTCATTGGGATTATGGAGATAAGGAAGGGCAATGCATAAAACAGACAAAGCCAGTGTAACATCTATTGGAGAGTCAATCAAACCGACACTTTGCGTGTACTCCGCTCCGGTAATTAGGTTTTCTTTGGCAGGGCTACGTGTGTAGTGGCGGTGAAGAAAAAACCACTACCCCATATTATCCCGTGGGTATCCCCATATTATTATTATCCCGTGGGTGTCGTAAGAGGCGACAGAAGGAAACAAACCAGAAAATAAGCTGCAGCTTCTTCCTAATAACAACTAAAACTTAAAAAACTGTAGTTGCCAACCCGCTCACCAAGTGTTGCAACTACCCACGGTAAAAAAAAGGGGGGATCCCCTATGAGGCCATCTAAGGGAGCTTATGTTAAGCACTTTTCATAGGCTGTAACGGTAGGGCTGCAGGAGTTTGCTGAAGTGTTCTAATATGGGTTTTAATCGGAGTAAGCCTGACAACTTGGGAGACGGGTAAAGGAGGAGAAATACTTACTTGATGGCCTAAGAAGTCGAGGAATATTGCTGAAAGCACAAGTCGGCCTGGAAAGATTTTTACAATCAGGCTATGTGCTGCTCTGAGCTGTAGACTTGATACGTAAATTTAGTATAAAAACGTATTTAATATTTTTTATGGAAGAAAAAGCAAACGTGCATGCGGCTCACTTGATGGTAAGTGATCACCGTCGCCCATGAACAACTGCAACACCAGGGGAATTGCAGGTGCGTTGCCGGCCTTTTAGGAAGGAGTAAGGCTCTTTTCTTAAAGGTTCCTTAGTGGTATCGGTCCGGAAAAACCACTCTAGCGCCAGTAAATTCCACAGTTTGATTAGTGTTAAAATGACTAGTGAAAATACTACTTATATCCATTACTTTTTTTTATTTATTTAAAAATATGTTTTATATAGTAATAATAAACACATAACTTTTTAGTAAAGCACTCTACCAGCAGTAAATTCTTTGATATGCACGAATACCTCCTATTTCTTTTTCGCGCTTCTCTTGTAGTTTCATCCTTTTTTCATACATAACAGCATTTGAGAGCGCTCCTTCAATGCAGGTAACTGGCCGATTCCTGTTAACACAAGTGGTAAAGTTAAAAATATCAATTCAATATCAATGAGAACTTCATCAACGTATACGAAGTCAATTAAATGCGCCTTATTAAGAATAACTCAAAAACTACTGGTCAGATCTTGATCAAATTTATATGGGTCGAGAAACACCAGCTTTCAAATAAAAAAAGAATCATCAAACTCGGTTCATACAGAAAAAAGTTCTGAGGTAACACACATAAAAAAACATATAAGTAGTCAAATTCGGTCCAAATTGATTCGATTGGGCCAAAATTGAACTCCACATTGAACAATTAAATTGGCCTCAAAAAAGCTTGGCGTGCTCATCAGAGCGGGACAGTATTTCATGCCGCCACACCTCCTGCAACTTTACAAGGCGCAGGTTCGGCCGCACATTGAATACCCATCTCAGGGCTGGGGCTCCCCAGTGCCAGCTCCTTCCACTTGACCGCATCCAGCGCAGAGCGGCTCGAATCGTTGACGACCGAGTGCTTTCCGATCGGCTCGATTCACTGGCGCTATGCTCTTCATTCATGTTCTTGTTTCCTCACTTCATGTTGCATCTCTTTGCATTTTCTTTCGCATATACCACGAGGAGTGCTCTGAGGAATTGTTTGGATTAATCCCAGCCACCAAATTTCGTAACGCACTACGCGGCAAACGTCCCGATACCATCCTCACCATCTGGATGCTTGGCGGTCCACCACTGTACGTTTCAGAAGGAGTTTTCTTCCGCGTACGACCTCTCTGTGGAATAGTTTACCACAGGCGATTTTTCCGGACCGATACGACCTAAGGACTTTCAAGAAAAGAGCTTACTCCTTTCTAAAGGGCCGGCAGCGCACCTGTGATTCCCCTGGTGTTGCGGTTGATCATGGGTGGCGGTAGTCATTTAACATCAGGTGAGCCGTATGCTCGTTTGCCCCCTCTTCTATAAAAAAAAATAGTTACTTATAAAGTTTTTCTGTCAAGACGTTCTCAGTGGCAGCCGGGTATTACGAAGTTGTCGGTATTTCACCCCCTGAGACCCCGAAAGCACGTAAAACCTCCTGCGCCTGCGATTTTACTTCGATCGTGTCAGCTTAGAGAATAGAGAGTGCACCTGTACCTGCGCCCACATTCGTAGATTATAATCTTGCCCTGCACAGTTGGCTAGTCTCTGTTGAAACTGGCCGCCATGACCGCAGTTCAGCCTGGAGGACTTTATTACGAGACATTCACACGAGGTCGTTTAAAAAGTATTTTAATAATAATAATGTCCTCAAGACATAGTTTCGGTTTGGATAACATTACTAAAATTAGAAAAACTCAATTACTGATTTTGACCAGACGCGGGATTTAAAATCAGGACCACATGATCAATAGTCGTGCTTGAATAACGAGGCAGTCAAAACGTCAAAACGTTTGGTACTGTTATCGCTAAACTAATTGCTAAGCCTGGTGATCACACTAATCCCTCTTCCAAAACTGGCGTTAGGCGGTGGTTTGAGCTTATAATGATGATAATACTGAATTTCAAAAGAACATTTTACCATCAACGATTAATCGTAGAGGAATATGGTGACATGTAGCGCTAACTCAATAAATAATCACTACGGTTTAATAAGGATACGCACAAGATTTTCCCGTTGACGTCCAGATTCTGCGCCTCATTTCGTACTTCCATACTAAGCGGCCTTTCTTTCCCGCCTTTAAGAGCCAGTTCCGTGAGATACTTCTTGATGTATTGTTTCAACTGTAAATTCTCCTTAGCAAGTTTGGTTTTTTCAGCTTTTAAGCACATTGTTTGAACTTTAACTCTGTTTACTTTGAGTAAAAATTTATCCATTTTCGAATACTCCCTGCATTCATTCTGTGTAAAGAAACAGTATAATGTATAATTATAGAATATATTGCCAACAAGGCAACCAGCGTTCATGGCACTTACCGCAGGGAGTAGGGTTATGTGATAACTTTAGTTATTTTATTGCTAGATATAAATATTGTAGAAATAAATATATAAAAATGTATAACAATGAATTTATCCTTTTATTGTATCTGCATCAGACATCATCGGTCAATAAAGTTGAAGCAAATTTCAAATGCTAATCGTATCTCTATTGTCTATATAAGCATGTATAAGATAATAAGATTTTGTTAGTTGGCACACGTTGGGAGAGGACTGTGTTATGTTATATGCCAGCAGTGGACTGTCGTAGGATGAAGATGATGTATAGAATAATAATAAATGTATTCTTTTTGATATAGATTATTTGCATAATACTTAATGAATGTAATTTTTATTTACCATTGTTTCGAAAAATATCTCTATCATGGGAAGGACAAGTAAGAAACCAAGCGGGTTTTTTTTTTCAAATATAAATGTAAGTATGATCATATTATACCATATGTAAGTAATATTATTTAATAAATGTAATATGTTTAAGTTTCTGAAACACGCTTTGCAAATACTATTTTCTTCTCATTACCTCATTAACCTGTCAACCGTCCACCTATATAGACAAGGGCCCTCGCATATAAAGATGATTAGTCTCAATCGACATGTTTAGTGGTGTATTGCCGTTCACAGTTTCAGACGTCTGTTTCCCATCACCGGTCAAATGATATGAAAAGGCAATATAACTATACAATGACCACATTGACTGTAGCTTCCAGTGATAGCCAGTTAGTTTGCCAAGAGTGACGATAATGGGAAATTTTGCCTTACTGTTGGAGACACTTGCCTAAAAGTCTTACAGTACCTACACTATGGGAGGATAATGATGAATAAATAAAAAATACGTGTGGCACTCGGTGACTGCCGCGGTAAAGCTATTGCATAGCATTTTTGATCAACTTATGCAATTATAATTATTTATTTATTTTATTCATGCAGTTAAGTCTTTGATATTAAATCAAGTTACACTTTTTGAGCGTGGTGGCCGATAAGAAAACAATTTTTTTCTCTTATTGAATAAATGAGAAGTTAATATTGTTTAAAATATTTTTAATATCTTACAATACATGTAGGTTATTCAGGAATTTTTATCATTGAGTTAGCAGCTAGTGTACACGCACGCAAACACCGTGCCGAAGTCTGCCGAACTAAAACGACGTTAGACGATGCAGGGCTTTCAACGCCACACCTCCGTGCCCGTCGGAGTGGGGAGCGTGAGGTTTTTTTCGTTACGGAATTTCTGGATTCGGTCCCCGAGCTCAAGGCCCGCGATAGAAGCTATGCAATAGCTTAATAATATCTGCAATACTTTGGATTATATATGTACTATTACCATCATAACATCGTTCAGGTTTTCAAAAATTTGCGGCCTCCATTCTTCTTCCGAGCACCGTACGAGTACGTCCAGCCTCTCATTTTCATACTTGGTGCATATTTGATGCATTTGTGCGATTTTATTAAGTTTTTCTCTTACTGCTTCTAGGCGCTGAATTGAGAAAATGTATTAAATATTAAGTAAATGAAACTTCAAGAATCAAAAATATTGCCGCATTGATTTTAGACCGTCGGAGTTCCAAGAAAAAGAATGAAAGAATGGTCAATGATCCGTTTGGAAAATACCGGAGCAACTTGGAAACTTCGACAGCATGGCGTGACTTCGAGGCGCGATAACAGCGCCGCCATACATACGTATTAAAAGAAGTCTAAAATCACGCCTTTGAGGATTCCGACTGCACTACAATATCTTGACCAATTGCGAAGTTGACAAGAATCACTAGTAAATGATAATAAATTTAGTTTGTTACTTTTTGCAGTCTTGAGAACATGGTCGATTTTTTAATTTTATGTATAGTTTTTACCGTGTGGTGGCGGTGTAAGAATCAAGAATACCCACTATAGTGGATCTACCCCACTGTCTCGTTTGTGTCACAATAAGCGACAGGGTGACACAAATGAGATTGACAGCAGTGTCTTCCTTATAATAACTAAAAATAAAAAAAAAACTATTTTTGGCAACCCGCCTGCGAAGCATGCAACTATTACAAATTGTTATTTTTTTACGTGCTGGAGCCAAGCTACACCTATATTATAGTTGTAGCACGAATGGGTCTGCTCGACCGGGGCAGGACCACGCTTTGACATAATACCAGCGAAAAATAGTAGTGTAATGCTGCTGTTTTTTGTATGGTGAGTGAAGAGAACCGGAGACCATTTTACTGCAGTCGAGGCACTCCATCTTAGTCCTCAGGGGTGACAACGCATTTGCATTTTTATTCTTAGTTGAAGATAAATGTGGTTGCCTATGGGCCACAGCATTCACTTACCATCAGGTTGACTGTGTGCTCGATTGTCACGCAATGCTATAAAAAATTAGAAGCAATTTATGGGGAGGTCTTCGTTCAGCTGTGGACTTTGATCGGCTATAATGATAATTATATGAAAAATATAATAATTTGACTAGTAAAACTATCACGGGATTACACTATATTCTCAATTTTTATAGAAATGTTTGCTTTGACAACTCTTAAAAAGTATTTCAGTTGAGTAGAGTGTTCAAACGAGTATACCTAATTATAGGCTCTTTACATTTGTAGACGCTTCGTGTGTATGCTATAAAAAAATAGAAGCAATTTATGGGGAGGCCTTCGTTCAGCTGTGGACTTTGATCGGCTATAATGATAATTATATGAAAAATATAATAATTTGACTAGTAAAACTATCACGGGATTACTCTATATTCTGAAACAATTTTTATAGTAATGTTTGTTTTGACAACTCTTAAAAAGTATTTCAGTTGAGTAGAGTGTTCAAACGAGTATACCTAATTATAGGCTCTTTACATTTGTAGACGCTTCGTATGTATGCTATAAAAAAAATTAGAAGCAATTTATGGGGAGGCCTTCGTTCAGCTTTGGACTTTGATCGGCTATAATGATAATTATATGAAAAATATAATAATTTGACTAGTAAAACTATCACAAAGGAGTATACCTAATTATAGGCTCTTTACATTTGTAGACGCTTCGTATTATTGATGAAGCGTTACCGCTCCCCAGTGGTACAAAAAACATAGACCAAAAGTTACTCAAATGAACTCCTTACAAACAACTAGTAGAAAGAGGAATCTAAACGACAACACAGAAGATCTAATGGAAGTAGTTGCTTCAGATATAGACCTTAACAAAAATATAAAAAAAATAGAAAACAAGCTCAAAGAACAGGCAAGTATACATATAAACGAGAATCAAAAAATCCTATTTAAGTGAAAAAACTTTAAAAATAATTGAAGACAGAAGAAATTTAATAAAAAAAATCAAAAAGAAATATCTAATCTTAACAAACAGATTCGTGAGAATATGAGGATTGACAGGAAAAATAGAATAATCAAAACTCTAGAGAATCACATTAGCAAAATAGGAGGCATAAAAAAGCGCTTAAGGAACTTCGAGAACAGGGAAAAGAATGGATACCGAAGTTAAGAGACAAAATACTGCCAAATACTTCTCGCAAAAAAATTCAAAACATAGCGACAAACTATTATCGTTTACTGTACAAAGAACATAGTTCAATTCATCCAAAAATACAATGGCCAGATAAAGAATATAATAATAATATACAAAACCATATGATCAATGACGTAGAAGTTATACCAGAAATATTAGTAAAGGAAGTAGAAAAATCTATAAAAAGTCAGAAGTTGGAAAAAGCCCCTGGTCCAGACAGAATCACAAACGAACATATGAGTCTTCAATGAGACTCTACAAACCGGCTGCATTTCGAGTCAATGGGCAGAATCACATATAATACTTCTACATAAAAAGGGTCCAAAAGACGATATGGGAAACTATAGACCCATTTCTCTCATCTCAAATCCTACTTTTACGTTTACTTGTTTGCCACCCTTATACTATAAAAAGAAGGTAGTCTAAATACTTGTAGTCTAAACACTCTTGGGCACAGGTCTGCTCTTGTCGTTGAAAGGATTATGGAGTAATTAGTTTGCCGCGCTGTTGCAGTGCATTCGGAGGACTTCTTAGTCTTCGAAATATTTTTACTCCTTAGACATACAGGTTTGATTACAATGTTTTCTTGCAGCGCCGAGCATATGGATTGCTCCGTACCGTGTGATATTACAATAAGAGCTTGGGCCCTGAAATTCCACGGCACATATTATGCTCATATAAAATGTATTTTCTAATAGTAATTACTCGGAAGTTGCAGCCGTGGTTGTAAATTGATCGATTGTGATTTATCTAATAATGATAAGAATTGGTATTTTGTATTTCAAAGCTTCAACTGCACACATTTGTGACAATTTCAAGGTGCTTGGTGTTTTCAGTCCCAACAAAAAAAAAATACAAAAATACAATAAAAACGTCTTAAAATTTATTGAATTCAGTATTTAAATTTTACCTTAATAGCGTCTTGACTAGAATCTACAAGCATTGTTAACATATCATCGTCCTTGTTGTTAGCAAGCTTAGACTCCTTCTTCATTTGCCAGTAGCGTCGTGCTAATTCTTCCTTTTGCGCGTTCATGCGATTTAATTTACTGCTTACTGTTCTCATTGTTCGCATCCACTCGTTTTGTAGATTTGTTAATATTTCCTAGAAGATTTTTTTCTAGTATTAATTACTTTGATCAACTTTATATTTTTAAGTATGCTGAAGCGATAGGTTGATCATATAAATAGTAAGATTGATAACAGTAGAAAAGAAGGGTTCTCGAAGTGGCACCTTCGCCTCGGCAAGCATAAAAATTTATTTATTTTTTATAGGATAGGGTGACAAATAAGCACACAGTCCACCTGATGGTAGTTGATGTGGTCCATAGACATCTACATCTAACCTCAATTATAAAATGCAGATGCGTTGTTACCCGTGAGGACTAAGATGGAATGTCTCGTTTCCAGTAAAAAGGGTCTCCGGTTCTGTAGACTATATACGAAACACAGCAGCATTAAGCTACTATTTTACGCTGGTATTTTGTGAGAGCGTGGTCCTTCCCCGGTCGAGCCATTCATGCTACAATAACACTACTAATATAACTGCAGCATGGCTCTACTACGTAAAAAAATGCTTTAAAAAGTTTATGCTGGGTTATCTCCACCCTAAAAAGGACTCGCAAGCACTCAATAGATGTAGATGGTTCAAAAGCGTGCTTTGCTGTATTGAGTCACTATATTGTAAATAATTAATATAAATGATTATTTAAATAACCCCTCCTTTAAGCGTTAATTTAAAGAGTTCTTAACCATTCTAAGCACCTACCTCCAGTAAGTGTTGATGCAGTCGCAGATGCCTCAACAAAAGCGTATTCACTCTTGCATTGAAGTCACCCAGTTTTTAATCGGATAGAAAGAGAAATGCTGGCAATTCATTCAACACTTCAACTCCTTTGCCGTGACGCTAGACGAACGACGAATAAAACCGTTTGGTTCGTCGTGTGTGATAGTGTGTTTAAGATTTATGTAAACTTCTTTATGCTATGAGTATATTATCTTAGTCTCTTTTTGTGTCTTAATTATAGTTTTGAATTAAATAAAAGAAAACAATTGTTCACTCAAAAAAACTTATGAATTTTTATAAGACAGCTATGCCCGGCATTCATTGCAATGCGTTTTTTCTTTTTTTGTCAGAAACATTCAACAACTCTTAAAAGTTTCATTCTCAATCGGATCAGAAAATAGTCCCGAAACACATGTGGAGAAAACAAAGAAAACCTCATTAAAAATCATTTAAAAATTTCACTAAAATTTCATCATAGGTGATTGTATTCATCACCATATGATGAAAACGTTTTTAAAGATCGCATTATTTTAACTTCAAAATGGGGAGTGATAAATTTTTGAAAGATTGTATTTAATTGCGTACATATATAAGTCGTTTCTTATTTTGTTGAAATACCAATGACCAAGAAAGAAGATAGTATTGTAATTAGCAAGTCCTCGCCGTAAAGGCACTTACTCCTAGCCTACGAGAAAGAAGAGACAGATTGCTACGAGTCGTAGCCGTGTTTTGTATTTGATGTAACGCTGTATGCGATAAGATCGGAATGTGCTTAAGTGAAATATGGCTATTAAGTGCAACTAGATTCATTATCCCTTGTATTTAAACCGACTTCAGAAAACGAGGAGGTTCAAAATTAGACTGTTTTTTTATTGGTAGAACTGTTAACGCTGCTTATCCAGTCTTGTCAGACTGGAAGAATAGCCCATCGACCTTTCGGCTGGTGCAAGTGTGTTTTAGGCATGGGTGCTTTGATAAGTGCCTGTCTTTTTTAATTAATAAAGTGTAACCCGTGCCCTGTAGATGGAATGGAGATGACGACCGTGTAATGACGTGAACAAGGAGTAGCATACTCTAGAATGACTTGCCGGCAAGTTACGTTGTGACTTAAGTCACAAAATAACTTAGACTATGCCTGGCAATATTCGTATGTGTGACAATTTAACGTGCAACGTATACGTAAGGCCTCGAAGTGGCACATCTGGTGTTCCCACGCATCCCCATATGAAGAAAGGGTGGAGAACTACCAGCTCCACTACTAAAATGAGAAGGTGCCTGTTTGATCTACAGAAGTGTGCGAAGACGTTTTCGTAATCCTGGCAAAAAGCGAACAGGGGCTTTAGTCGGGAGGAGTCTACTCTGACCATTTGCCTTTGAATATGCAATATAAATAAATTTACTAAGGAATGCATGGATAATAACCTATTAATTAATTCATTATTAGGATACAAACGTAAGACTTTTACAAAGCATAAAACGATGAGCACACAGTCCACCTCATGGTGAGTAGATACTGTGGGATATAGGCAACGACAACTCTACAAGTCATGTCAAGGTAGCCTTTACATACATAAATTTCACAAAGTCGGACATCCAGACTCGGGGTAATTATTTGTAGGTCATATAAATCCTTCAAGACAAGAGCTTACTCCTATCTGAAAGGTCGGCACCGTACCTGCAATTCCCCTGGTGTCGCGGTTGTTCATAGACAGCGGTAGTCACTAACCATCAGATGAGTCGCATGCTCGTTTGACCCCTATTCTATGAAAAAAAAACTTTTTTCTGTGTGAGATTTGAACCTGATTGTATTTGGAAGCATTATTTTTTAAATTAATGAAGTGTAATTCCTTGTAGTGGCAGTGTAAGAATATACGTTACCCCATATCATCCGGTGGGTGTTGTAAGAGGCGGCAGAGGGAAACAAATCAGGAGATGGGCAGCAGCTTCTTTCTAATAACGACTAAAAATAAAAAACTGCGGCTGCCAACTCGCTTGCCAAGCGTGGCAACTGTGGCAAATATCCCCCTATGAGGCAAGCTATGGGGGAGGCCTATGTTCAGCTGTGGACTTTAATAGGCTGTAATGGTGACGGTAATGGTAATAAAGTGTAACATATTACCGCAGCCTGTTCTATCAGTTGCTCATTTCTCGCGATGTCTCTCTGGTAGAAGTCGTCTTTCTCTCTCAGCGCTCGATAGTGACTCATGATGGGACTGTGCTGTTCCAGGTATGAGTTGTATACTTCTTGCAATTTCCTAGCATACATCTCTATTTCCAGTTGCTTTGGACGGCAGAGGCCGCGCATTTGTTCTTCGTGCTGTCAAAAAATAAGGTAAGTCTGTAAATTCCTATTTTAAGCGTAACTAGTTTCTACTCAACATCGAGCGAGTGACATTTTCACCTTTTGAAAATCAACATTATAATTATAAGATCTAAACTAATGAATGCCAATCACATTAAGACGTTAAGACCTGAAATTTACAATTAATGTTTTCCACAAAGTTACTGGAGTTCTATCCAAGATATAATAGTAGTTACTCCAACCACTAGATAAATGTAGTATGAATTTTTATAAAATTTATTAATTTGGTATAAAATCAGAATGTTGGATGCAGTACCCCAATGATCTTACAAAGAAAAAAAATTAATTGTATTTTTTTCATTGTAATAAGCTTTACGGGTAACATAATTTTGTATTAGCCATGGTAATTTCCTGTAATTATTGGGAAGTATACATTTCCGTTACTGGTCGTGATGTATAAAACACTGACAGCTGTAGCGGATTGGGAAATTTTTGTCTATTGTGTGATGATGTGGGCAGAAAGGGTTAATGTATAATCGATTCTCTAAAATATGGTGTTGTTTTGTTTTTAATTTTAAGATTTTAAGAAATTTTGTGTGTAATATCATTTATTATATATATGAATAATAATGTCCTCTAGACCAATTTTCGGTCACGGCGCGGAGGTCATTATCCGCGGAGATTCATCTACTTTGGGCAGGATTATGTATGAGCATACAAAGGTGCACTCTCTATTCCTTTCTTGTCGAAATACGATGGCATGGTAATCCGAAACGTCTGAAGAGACCACAAGACCGGACCATCGGTTTTACTTTCCGAGGCACTGCTGGTCATTACCGCCAATTTTTCGTCTCCAGACTGTTTCTGATTTATTGACAGAAAAATCCAATAACTAATTTTAGCCAGACTTTAAATTCAAACGCAGTACATATGATCTAGTAAGCCAACGAGGTAACGATATTCCATCTGATGGTGGGTAAGTGAATGCTTTAATGCATGCTGACGCGTTGTCACCTCCGAGGATTAAGATGGAATTCCTAGTTACTAGTAAAAAGGTCTTCAGTTCTTCTAACTGATCATAGGAAACACAGCAGCATTATGATGCTATTTCACGTTGGTATTCGGAGCGAGCGTGGTCCTCCCTCAGTCGAGCCGACCCATTCGTGCTGCATTTATAATAAACACTCTATAGTGTGACTCCACCAAGTGGTTCTTACAAATGCCGAAAAAGAAATACAAATGCCGATTTTTGGTAAAGAAGTTTAGTTTAAGTCCATCATTAGAGCATTCCGCCAGCACAGGGAATACCTCGCTGATTCATGGACAAGGTTCAAGTGATCTTTTGCCCCGACTTCTGCCTATCCGTATAAAATAGAGGGCTCAAAACAACGAAAGTGGCAATACAGAGCAACATTACCAGTAAGTGGCAATACAGAGAAACATTACCAGTAAGTGGCAATACAGAGCAACATTACCAGTAAGTGGCAATACAGAGCAACATTACCAGTAAGTGGCAATACAGAGCAACATTACCAGTAAGTGGCAATACAGAGCAACATTACCAGTAAGTGGCAATACAGAGCAACATTACCAGTAAGAGGATATCGTCTCTCGTACCAACCTGCGATGAAATGCCTCACGGTCTGTAAATATACTGGCTTTCAATGTCCTTCAGACCGTAATACAGTGCATGCAATACTGCTTAGCGGCAGAAGGAGGATAATATAAATCAAGAAGTATTTCTAGACAGAAAAGGGTCTGACAACCTAGATTATGAACAGAAGTTGGGAATGTATTTTAAGTGCCTTAGGCCACTTGTGACAGAGATTCCTCTTCCATAACCATATAAAACATTTTAGAATCATAAGATTTTATTTTACAAATACAATTTACGATAAACTTAAAACTAATTCACAGCCTAAATAAGTTTAAAATAATTTAGCGGATATATTCAATACGGATTCTAACATCCAAATAAACTCCGAACATATTCATCTCCATAGTTCGCTGAGCGAACTTAAGCTTCCTCTTATATCAATGTACGGTCACATCTCAGTTACCTATGGCATAACTGGTAACAAGCACTAGTTGTACTTCCTTGTTTAAAGATATTGAGGCATACGTGAAAAGAATATGCCCTTTTTTTGGAATGCTGCCCAGCGAAGTTGAATCTTGATAATTAATCTGATATTAATCCTAGGTAAAGTATACTCAATAACTAGCGGCAAAGGTGTGATATGGATGTTATAGGTATATCGTACATCTTTAAATTATAAGAAAATATTCTTATACTTCATATACGAACAGTAATAGACTAGGCAGGAGTAAGATTATTTTGGCTATTCAAGCAACATATTTTAATTACAACCATTATTATGAGAGCTAGAAATCATATACAATGATAGCGAATGTATTATTCAAACAACTGTACATAGATCGACGGGCGAGGCTGCAGTGTTGTGGTTTTGTGCCATTCAGAGGGTAGTGGAGCGTGGTGGTCAGTTTATATATGTTGGTACTCCACTGTTCCCACAGCCATTGTCATGGGTTTGGTGAAAGTGAAGATGTGTCGCTTGCAATTTTTGATAGCTATTTGTTTATTATTTTTTATTTTAGACTGCAATGTAAGTAATTTTGATAGAGAAATTTTATTGTAGATTTTATTATTGATAAAATATTTCATAATATTCATATATAACTAATCGCTACATTAATTACATCGTATTTTTTGAAATTTCTTAATTTAAAAAAATACGTCGTTCTTATTTGGCAACCGTCGCACAACTTAAGGGAAAATATAACCTCAAATGGCTTAGCAAGATCCTCCATTATGCCGGCAAATATTGCAACATTAATTTTGAAATAAATATATGGTCAAGTTGAGGATTAATTGTAAGGATTATGTTAGACGAAAACACGATTCCGTAAAATTTTCTCGATAGAAAAAAAAATTCCAAAGTTACCTCCAATATAAACAATAAACCGCTGTTATTCACAAAATACTTTAAATAAGATCATGAAACTTTGCATACTAACTGAACTAACTATAAAGTAGTGCTTATGTTATTTACTTTTTTTTTAAATACCATTATTTTCACTGTAAAAAAGAAATTACCTAAACTATCGGCCTCTTGAAGCGTGATTCCCGCCGCCCGGTCAGTTTCGCTTCGGCCTTTGAAGGGGGAGGCTGTGTCGCTTACGATCAGAATACACAATACGCAACAGGACGACGTAAAATTAAAATGGGAAATAACCGTAATATAAATAAGAAGCGACTGGTTTGGCGTTAAGAAACAGGCATAAATATGATAACAAAAACCTATCTACTTACAGTATTAGTGATTACAAACATGTCGGTACATAGCATACGACGCGCGGGCAAGTGGGGGTGAAATTAGAATTTGAGCTGACTTACTACATCCCCTTAAGTACCTAAGATAAAATACAATAAGATAAAAGACGATGATAGATTATTCAATATGAAGTAATATTTATAGAGTACAAATGATATTCTTTTAGAACGTCATCATTTCTGGTTTAAATTGGGTTAGTAGTGAGGTTTGCTGTTAACGTTATTTTTCCACAGGCTCTGAACTGTCGCATAAAAACTTCACCTGCTAAAGAAAGTGAATTGAAAAGAATATATTCGTCATGTTTAAGAAAGCAAGGACAGAGAAATAACACTTATGGTAAAAGAAATAATGAAGAACATAGCACTTGGAGCCCTTCACGGGAATACAATCCTAAATCAACCTACGACCGGGAAAGGACAACTAACCAAAATGATAGAACAACCAATTCAAATGACAGAACAACCAATAATTATAAACATAAGGATAGAATTGGGGTAACTGATGCAATGGCAGTAAGACGTGACGTTGATTACACTAGGGAGGTTGAGGTTGAAGAAAGCACTGACAGAGAATTGGGGAGAAGCGATATAAATACAGGTCTATTTAACAACGATCGAACTAACGGTGAAGAATACAAACTAGGTGACGATTATAATGAAGTAAGTTGCGAAAAATCTTTTGATCTAATTTTTAACTGATATTTCTTTCCGGGGTAGACAGTGTTCTACATAGTGGTAGAAATAATGATAAATAGACCGATAAAGGTGCAATACGTCTGTTATTGCGATGTTACATGCGCTTGCAAAGTGTGGTGAAAGGTTATCCGGGCAGCGTTTACTCCATATTAAAAACGTATGTCTCCGTTTTTTTTTTCTTGGATATGATACCATATATAACTACCACTTCCAAGTTTTTATAATTTTTTTTCTATAAAATAAATATTTCAATAATTAGGAACCATCTAAAATTATTAAGCTGTCAAGTTTTATCGCTGTTATTATAGATTGGGCAAACGAAAAGAACGAAGATAAAAATAAAAGAAAAACATACAAACCGACCGAAATAACGACAACCTTTACACTGTTCTTGAAAAAAAAAAGTTATTTCGATTCAGCATTAGAGAAGGAATATACGGAATGATGATTTTGTAATTTATTTTATAAGTATTATCAGTTCGAGCGGCCTTTCTCGGTTGCCTAGCTCGGTCGTTTCGCCAACACGCATTGGGGTAGCGCGGCGAACACTTCCTTGCCCTCAAACCCTCTCATAAAAGTAGAGGAGGCCTGTGCTCAGCCGTGGGACGTATATAGGCTACAACTTTTTACTTTATAATTATATATTTGATAATAATTTCATTTTAATCATATTTTTATTTCTACTACTTTTATTTTTATAAAAAAATTTTTTCCCATCAGGACTCGTCTCAGTACGGCAATGATCGCTCATTATCCAAACTTTCCGAACGACAGAAGCGTGAAAAGCGCAACGAGATGAACTCTGGACAGCGAAGCCAGTACAACCCAAATATAAAAAAACGTTCAGATGAAAATGAAAGTAGACGCGATGGCGACCAGAACTCGCAAAATAATGTCTCGGAAAAAGATTTTAACAATATTCCATGCGCTTTACACTGTTTTATGGAGAGTTTGCAAATGGTATCTCAAATAGAATTAAGTATAATTTATAATAACAACTTTAGCTAGTAGGGTTAGGTGCTGTAGGGGTTTGAATCCTGCAAAGAAGAAGTGTTTACACGGCTACTTTGTCACATGGTATGTCCTACGAATAATTGTTTCGGCTATGGATGTCTGTCCAAGTGCAAATTATGTATGTAAAACGACCCTTTCTTTTCTTCATCTCTGTCAGTCGACCGTACTGAAATTTGTTATACCTGTGGTGTACGGAATCCTTAGGGGGGCCTTTATCCATACATAAATGCTATTTGTAATATTTTAAGCGATAAGTCAGTTTAAGGCGACATTTGAAATCGTAAAAAAATAATTATGCAAAAATGTTCCTGATTCAGATCCAAATTTCAATTAAACACAACGTTTCAGTTTATGTCGCAAAACTTTGAAGGAAAGTTTGAGAATGGAAAATTCGCATTTCTTCTTGTTAATTATCGTATTTTAAAAAAAATATGACTGGCCAGAGACTCGTACAAAAACTTATTTCGCAAATTTTCTGTGTATCCTGACGTACACTTCAGCTTTAAGGAATACAAATCTTTTCATTTTCATATTTTTTATATATCTCAAGATAACTATCATCATCATTACACCCCTTCACAAGTACACTATTTTTCCCCAAGAAATGCCACAAAGCACGGTCCTGAGCCACCTGCATTCATCGACTTCCTGCATGTCTTACCAGGTCTTCATTCCAACTAGTGGGGGGCCGCCCTACATTTCGCCTACCGGTACGAGGCTGCCCCTCGAGAACCTTTCTTCGCCATCAGTTGTCGATTCTTCGGGCTGGCCGGCGCATTGCCACTTCAGCTTACTAATCTGTTGGGCTATGTCGGTTACTCTGATTCTACTGTGGATATCCTCAGGCAGGCAATGACCTAAGTATGTTAACAAATGTGCGCTGTTTATAAACTAATAATAATATAATTTATTTCGTAGACCGACGATTCCGGTATGCCTAATAAGTACTTGGTTACGCAAGCAATCACGAAGGATATACAAAATGACGAGCTTAAAGACTTCCTCCAAGAATCTGCAGATGAATGTTTTGAAATGTTAAGCGGTATGTTAATATTTTTGTATGTAATCAACACATAAAATTTAAATACTCCATAATCTCTACTTTAGACTACTTTAATCATACTTTACAATTTGCGAGCCCACTTAAATATTTTTTTAAATAAAAATTAACTGGTATATAAGTTTACAGTCCACCAAATCGTAAGTGGCTACTTTGTGTATTGCCACATTCAATTCGTTGCACGCTGCAACTATTTCACGATTACGGTCCGTTACCCTTTTACGATCCCAGTACTAGAAGATTTTTCTAACGTTTCGCATAGTCTCCCCCTACGACACCCGCAGCAGGACATTCCAAACTCAGGTCGGAATTCAGAATTGACGTATTTAACAAAAATTAAGTAACGGGGAATAAGACAAAATGGAAGTTGATTCCTATGTGCTTCACATTGTCTTTTCACAGTTATGCATGATTTTTATTCAGCATTTAAATACCAACTAATTTATAAGAATCCAATTACAAAAATTGAACAAGTTGAATGTTTTTTGAATCCTTGATTTGTTTTTGATATTTTAGGCACATAATGCTATTATATTATTTATTTTGGAAAACAGTTAACACTAAATCACCAAATAATTTTTTTTTAGCAAATAGAGAGGACAAATGCGAATTTTCGAAGAATCTACTTATGTGCCTTTCAGACAAGGGCAAATCTAACTGCGATGATTGGAAGGATGACGTCCAATTTTAAAATGATTTCTTTTAAATAAAGTAATGTGAATTTGAGTCTAATAAATTATAATTTAAAGATACTCTTTGTTTTGTTATCCATTTTATATAAAATAAGAATAAACAAGGACACAATCCAAATAGAGAGTGCACCTGTGTTTGCGTAATATAATTCAATCCTGCGCAGATGGCTTGTCTACGTTGAGACTTGTCGCTATGGCCGAAATGCGGTCTGGAGGATATTATTGTTATAATTATATTTGAATTTTTTCATTAAAAAAACTTAAAAAGATATATAAGTGAATAATAAAGGCTGAGTATGCTAAGGAATTGCTTACCTCGAGTCTTTCATCGTTTTTCACTGTCATGCAGTCTATTTCTTTTTGCTTCTTATAGCTTATAAAATCTCGGTTTTGTATATAAGTGATCAGTATTAGCTTTAGTTCTGCTCTGTCTTGGTTATCCGTTATCTCCAATTCTTCTCCTTCCCAGTTCTCTAAGAGAACGTTCTTTTGGTAATCATATTCCGATTGTAGTTTATCGAGACGTTGTGTTCCTATTTCTGCAAATGAAGTCATGAAGTTAATTTCCCTTGTTACAAAGACTTCTGTATAATACTACTACTAGTTACGGTTAATTCTCCTTGCTGAGGTCCATTCTCTGTACTGCGAGCGGGCTAGAAGAGAAGACTAGTTATTTGTTTTGTAAACCGCGAACGTTGTTTTTGACAATCTAACACTTATTTTATTCGTGTCGAAAAAAACGCTACCATTATTTATGTGCTCATTTTGTAAACGCGATTTGAAGTTTATTTCAGATGAGTATGTAAATTTATTTCGTATTTGCCTAAAAAGAGTGACTATCGTAAATAAAAATAAAACTGCGTAGCAGATTTACCGTGATTCCTAGTTGCGACATAGTACTAGAAGACACAATAAAAGAAGAAATTATAGTGTAGTTCCTATATGCAGTACGAAAACCAACTTTGCGAAAATTCAATATGAAAAACGATCAGAACACTTATATAATCAAATTAATAAAATATTGAAAATATATCCTTTAAAGACATACGATTGTAAGAAAAAAATAATGCAGTGGCTAATTACGATCAAACTGAAGCCTTATTAGAATTTATCCTATAAATGCATTCACTCACTGTCTTTTTCTCATACGTACACACGTACATCCCCACACAAATACACACACACACACACACACACACACACACACACACACACACACACACACACACACACACTGTTTCTTTTATGTTAATTGTACTTAGTTAAGAGAGGGCGAGGGCCTTCTACCACAAGTATCTTTATACTTAAAAGAAGTCCTCAAACTCGTACTAATTTTAAGAAAATGTTGGAAACAATAAACTTTCATTTCATTCCATTTCATTTCAGTACTTGTACTGAATTGCCGGTACAGTAGTATAGAAGTCTTTGAATTATTACGGTATTTTATATCGCAACCGTTCGCTTAATTGTAGGATGCGGACTACGAACCTAAGATTCGAAGGTTCGAACCACTCCTATCGCACGTAATTTAAACATACCTGGAGTGGTGATTTTTTCAATTTTAAAAATATACGTTTGTAGTATTAACGAAGTAATGATTTGATAGATTATTTTTCTAAAGTACCTTATCAAAAATTATGTTATATATTAAATTAAAGTATTCCTATGAAATTATCGTTTTGTCTGGAAAAATTGAAATATGTTGTAATTTATTAAAATATTTGTTTAAGTTGACCTAAATTTTATATGATTTTAAATGACTTACAAATTTTTGCCATTTTATGGGAAATCTGTTGACGCTATCATACTATGTAAAGTCTGCGGAAATTTAAGCGTAGATGATTGCTCTTGTATGAAACAAACGACGCGGAAGACTCACAATTGATAAAAAAGCGTTCTGTTACTCAGGTTTGAAATAACTGTGCATTTTACACCAAATAGATATAAGTATTTATAGCCAACGCGTATTGTATTCCATCTGAGCATGATCAGAGCATTGTAATTTTTTTACAGACGAATAAAATTGTAACAATATACTTGCGTAGAAAATAGTTTAAATTTTCCGTATGAGCTTGGAAGGCACGACGATTTTGTTCGTCGGAGTCGTCGAGAGCTCTTACTAGAGATGATATCAGCCGGTCCTTCCTCTCCACGAGGAAATTGAAGCTAGCAATCATGCTCTGTTGAACAGACAGGACTTTTTAAAATTTTCTACAAACTACGCTGTAACATTAACAACATTACACTGGATGACCTATTTTACCGTCTAGAAAAAAATAGCGTGTAACATGTTGGTTGACTAATCTGTCAAATCTCTATGGTGCACTGTATACAGTGGTAGCGTAAATGGTAAAATAAATTTCCGTTAATGATGAGTAAAATCGTAAGAGGCGATAAAGAGAAACTGAAATAGGAGATGGACGGCAGTATTTTCCTGTAACTCAATAATTGCTAAAAAAACTGCGTTCGCCAACTCGAATGCTAAGTGTAGCAACTATTTTTACAGTTGTAGCATGAATGGGTCGGCTCGACCGGGGAAGGACCACGGCCTCGCAGAATACCGGCGTAAACTAGCAGTTTGACGCTGCTGTTTTGCGTATGGTGAGTGTAGAGTATCGGAGACTCTTCTTACTGGAAAGGAGGAGTTCTATCTTACTCCTTACGGGTGACAACGCATCTGCATTTAGATTCGTAATCGAAGATAGATGTAGATGTCTATGAGCTGCAACTTACTGTCAGATGGACCGTGTGCTCTTCTGTAACCTTTATCCTATAGAAAAAATGCCAAAATTTTCCTAAATGAGACAATCTATGAGGGTACCTTTCTTTAGCAGCGTATTTTTGATAGGGAAATTTCAACTCATGGCAAACTCTACGAATGGGTCGACTTGAACAGGAATACACCACGCTTGCATGGAATGTTTCGTATGATATCTAAATTTTGATTCTGAATCAATGATAGATATAGGTTTGTGATAGTAGGACTGTGCGCTTGCTTGTTTACTTCTATAAAAAGATCTACTCTCTGACCCCAAAATTCATAACCTGGAGAGGTACTACGAGAGGTGCAACGTCGTCTCTATCTTCACCAACTCACCTGTACATCTGTGTTCCGGCCTGATGTAAATAGGAAGCCAGTATAATAACAAGCTGTGAGGCATTTCATCTGAGTCATCAGAGGTTACAACGCGTCTGTAGCCTTTTTTATTTGAAGTTAGCTGCAAGTTGTCCATGAACTGCAGTAGCAACTTTCCTTCAAGACTGTAAGTTGGTTTATCACTTCATTTAAAAAAATATGTCTATTTAATTGCCTGTGACTATTCGAAATTAAAAAAAAAATTACAAGGCATATTACCTGTATATCTAAAGCCATCTGCTTGCATTTAATTTTACGTAGTACGAAGCGCCACTCCTGGTTGATTTTTGCTGTGTTCATCTTACTGTACGATTCTTCTTTCTCAAGTTTATTCTAGAGTAAAACCATTCTTATTATTACATTGAATTAAACTATGATTTAAAACTAGGTGCCATGAAGTGGTGTCACCTTCTCAATCTATAATTGAAATTACATTTCTTTTTAATTGTAGAATATGTTAATATCGGTAAATCTGGAAATCTCAAGTGTTATTCTGTTTTCAATGTTAACGCCTAAATTCTTTAAAAGCGTTGCAAAATGGCAAAAGCGCTATAAATATAACATTGGTGGCCAAAATCACCTGCTATATGGTAAGTGGACTGCACATGACTTCGAAAATATATTTATATTTTTCAGTTAATCTATGTTCCTCTAAACAATTTAATTTTATAACATAATCGAAATTCCGAAAAACACTAAACAAATGTTAAGCGTAGGTACTTTGTGTTAAAAATGATAAATAATAAGTTTTATTAAATATGGAAGAACTGCGTTTGCGTTTAAATGGAAATAAAATAAAAAAGTTTGATATTTTATCCCTTATTAGGTATTTCTTCTTCCTCATCAGCCCCTAAAAGTCCACCGCTGCTTAATGCTGCTGTGCTTTGGATGGTGAGTGTAGAAAACCGGAGACCCTGGAAACTAGTCATGCCATCTTAGTCCTCAGAGGTGATAATGCATCTGAGTTTTGATTCTTCATCGAGGATAAATGTAGATGTCTATAGGCCACAGTATCCACTTACTCAGGTGGACTGTGTGTTCGTTTGTCACGCTTATTCTAAAAAAAAAAATGTTTCCTCAGGTGGATTGCTCGTTTGTCACCTTTATTGTATAAAAATGTAAATACTAATACATATTTACTTATGAGAAAACCGTTGTCTATTTCTTAATTTCCCAATATTTTCTCTCGTAACATAGAGACAATTTACATATATAAATTACACAAGAATGTAGACAATTATTTATGGCCCACAAATAGTTCGTACCGTGCAGGATTCGAACCCGCGGCCCTCAGCGTCGCAACTCAATAGTAAGCCAGTGCGACACTGAGCCCTCAAATAGCTATGTTGTACCTTGATAAATCTAGCGATGAGTTCCCGCTTCCTTCGTCGTGCTTCCTCCTCCATATCTGCGCGGTGCTGAAGGTACCTGGCGCGCTCCTCGTCCGACATGCGCGCCAATTTGTTCACTTTGCTTTTCTTCGGCATTTTGGCACTTGACCTGTTAATTGTTTTATTATCAACAAACAATATGTTTTACTATCGCCTGGTTATTTTCTACACTAATATCATCGGAAACTATCTCTTGCGTAATAAATTGTTATTATGTATTGTTTATTGTCATCACATTCGGTGATAGTCACAATATGCAACGCAATGTAATTCGAACCAGGTTCATAATATCCTGTTCTTTTGTAGATTTATCATTTAGAGAACGTGTTATCTATTATCCTTCGATTTATAAACTATCTCTATATAAGCAAATAATTTTATTTGAAATACCTTACCTCTTTTGAAATGATAGAATAATTTGGTAAATAACCGCCAACAGGCGTTATATTATGTTGCAAAGCTAACTATTGAACAAACTATATTTTGTTACTGAGCAACAGGTGTTGCGGGAATTTTCTTTTCGTAAAATAGTAATAGTCCTTTATACTGGATGACCTTTTTTACGGTCCCGAAAAAAAATAGGGTGTAACATGTGAACAGAGTAGAAGCATATGGTACTGATATTTTACAAAAATAAAAACTAAATTTTGAATTAAATAAATAAATTAATTAAAATCTATTTAGGAACGACAATAAAACAATAAATTTAGTAGGCATTTTTGACCTAGTCACTTCGCAGGGTCACACACAGGCTCAAGGGCAAAGGTCAAAGTAATTGTGCAAAAAAATTTCAAACGTTTAATTCAAAACTTTTGTAATTATTTTTATGTAAAATATCAAAGCCATAAGCTTCTACTTCGTTCACATGCTACATCCTATTTTTTTCCAGACGGTAAAAAAGGTCACCTGTATATTAGTAATGTTATTCATGGCGTTTTATGTGGGTATGTTTAGCTGTGGGCCTTTAGTAGGCTGCGATGATAAATTGCTGTGTAGTAGTGGTGTAGGAACATCCACTAATCCACCACTTATCCCCTGGGTGTCGTAGGAGATGATGGAAGGAATCTGAAACAGAAGCTTGTTCCTGATAACAACCGAATTAAAATAAGAATATAGCATGCCGATGACTATCACATTGAATCTGTATGTGATAAGCTACGAGCAATTTTAGCAAAATTTTAACTCATCAAGAGTAAAGTCCCTTACCACATGCTAATGTTACTATATAAAGCACTCGGCGGATCAATAGTTTCGTAGGGGCAGTTATGGACCCACGTATAAAACCCACCTTGAAAAAATATACGAGCTACAATTGCGCATTCTTAAATGTATCACCCCTCTCAAAATCAAAGATAAATAAAAAAAATCCTTATGGTCTTTTTCATCATTGCAAAATACTACCAGTACACGACAAAGTGAAATACCAACTACTGCTTGAAAATTATAGCAAGGTAGAATTAAAAATTAGCCGTATCTATGCAAAGCTTACACGACAAGCCCTCTCATCCATATATGACTACACCAAAATATAAAAATATGTATGGAAAATTTAGGTTACAATATCAAGTTCCCGCTCTTTTGAACCAAATTCCAAAAGCAATAAAAATAAACTAACTATAACAAATATTAAATATAAGCTTAAACAGTATTTTATATACAAATTGATAACGACACCTTCTAATAATTTATACTAAAAAAACTATATCTACTAACATACACAATATACATAAATACAAATCTACTAATAAATATATACATAGATACACACAATCGCAACATTATTATCTTGCTAATATTATTTATCATACTCCATAACTATCCTTTGCTGTGCTACACATTAGTTAAAAACATGCTATTTTGTCACATCATGTATGTAAATCATTATGTAAGTTGTCGCCACGCGAACCGATTGAACACGGTCGAAGTAACGAATCGGCGATACATGGAAAAACTTTTGTAAGTTTATTTGTACTGTCGGATGTTATTTAATAACTATATTTTGTAAAAAAAAATCTGACTACCCCTCTTGTCTATGTCAACCGCGTCCCGCGGTCGCGGGTAGTCGTGCGCTCACATTTGCAACATCTTTGTATTTATTACTCTCGCTTAGAAATAATTCATTGTTTTTTTATTCAAGTTTTGATTATTTTATGATAGTGTTATTTTTTAATCAAAATGGATAAATAAAAAGTCTATCGCGGTGACAAACGTGTTGTTATATTAAAGGTTCTTTACTTTTACTGTATTCTTACTTGTTCTGTATCTTTACTTTTCTTTACTTTTTTCGAGAAGGAAAAACAAAAAAGGTTCGCTTATTATAAATCTTAGAAACAACTCCAACATTTTTTAATTAATATTTTTTCCTTTATTGATGTATTACATTATATCGTAAGAATCCTAATGATTCTAACCGAGAGAAATATAACAGGGCACGAAATCGCTGCAATATGGTGTGTAGAGATAGTCAACGACGCCATATCCATAAATCTGTTGTTGAGGAAGATAACTCAACTAAAGTTTGGAACTTTCTCAAATCTTTAGGGGTTGGAAAAGCAAAGCGTAATGTAGAATCTCTTAATTTGAATTTAAATAAGCTTAATGCTCATTTCCTCTCTAGCGCCACTATAGACAGTGCTACGAAGAAAAATACACTTGCTCAACTTTCTGCTATATCAACTCCCAATTTTTCCTCTTTTGTCTTTAGCCAAGTTACTGTCAGTGATGTTAAGAAGAATATATTAGCCATTACTTCCGACGCAGTTGGTTCTGACAGCATTAGTCGTAAGATGATTATCCCAATACTCGATCTTTTAGCTCCTATACTTACACTTATTTTAAACCGTTCCCTTGACACCAGTGTTTTTCCTTCATCCTGGAAAGACGGCCTAGTAACTCCACTCCCTAAAAAATCTAATCCGACATATGAGGATTACCGTCCTATATCCATCCTTTCCTTTCTCTCTAAAGTACTCGAGCGCCTAATATACCAACAGCTGAGCAAATTCCTGTCCAATCATAACCTTTTGAATTCATTCCAATCTGGTTTCCGTCCCGGTCATAGTACGACTACGGCTTTGGTTAGAATCACTGATGATATTCGCCTGGGCATGGATAGTCAGCAGGTTACAGTATTGACATTGCTTGACTTTAGTAATGCCTTCAATACTGTAGACTTTGATGTTTTACTCGCTGTCCTAAGTTCTCTTAACATATCTCCTGAAGTAATTGGTTGGTTTCATAGTTACTTGCAAGGGCGCCGGCAACGTGTACAAATTCAAGACACGTTTTCTGACTGGTCTGCTGTCAAAGCTGGCGTCCCACAAGGTGGCGTGTTGTCTCTTCTATTGTTCTCTATCTTCATCAATTCGATCTGTTCCCACATAACTTCTCTTTACCACCTATATGCAGACAATTTACAAATCTACTCTCAATGTAAGATTGCGGATCTCCCCAATACAATTAGATTAATTAATGAAGATCTTATTCGTATTTCTCATTGGTGTAATTCATTTGGGCTTAAAGTTAATCCATTGAAGACTCAAGCCATTATTATTGGGAGTTCGAAATTAATCTCTCGGTTAACTTTGTCGCTGCTCCCGCCAATCATATTCGATGGGACACTTATCCCATACAGTGACAAAGTTAAGAATTTAGGTATTATGTTCGATCAGACTTTGTCTTGGGGACCGCAAGTTAGTGAAATAAGTAAAAAAAAATGTTTGCCGCAGTTGGTTCACTTCGAAGATTACGCAATGTTCTCCCCATTCCTACTAAAGTTGCGCTGGCTCAGTCTCTTCTTTTACCGATCCTTGACTACGCGGACACTTGTTATCTTGACCTAACATACGAGCAACTTAATAAACTTGAGCGGCTTCAAAATTATTGCATAAGGTTTATATTTGGGTTACGAAAGTATGACCACATATCCGAATTCCGCCATAAGCTCAAGTGGATCCCGATTCGTCTTCGCAGGAATACTCACATTCTTCATCTTCTTTACTGCATTCTGTTCAATCCGACCACTCCTTCTTATTTGAAAGACCGATTTATATATTTAAGTAGTTTACGATCTCAAAATAATCTCCTTCTAAGTACCCCTAGACATTCCTCTTCCTTCTATTCTAATTCTTTTACGGTTACCGCTATACGACTATGGAATTCTCTCCCCTTACATATCAAAAAATCTAAATCTCTTCCTATATTTAAAAATAAATTAAAACTTTATTACCTTTCCTCTTAAGTTACTACCTGTCGTCATTCATTTTTAATCATTTATGTTCTTCTATTTATCTTTCTTTATCATATTCTGTACACCCCTTCCGCTATCTTTTAAAATAGTATCCTCTGCCCTAAGGTTGCCTGGAAGAGATCGCTGTTTTAGCGATAAGGCCGCCTGTTGTACCAATGTCCCTTTAAATATATAAATAATGTAATATGTTCCTTGGTGTACAATAAAGTATATTTTACTTTTTTTTACTTTACGTTTGCAACCATTAATTTAGTACGGTGAAACCTTACATCTTTGCCCACATATTTCGGTTTTTATTACTTTTTTCAAAAAATATCCACTTTATTTTGATGGTTGCTAAAGCTTTAAACGACACTATATGCAACAAATAAACTGTTAAAACCAGGTGAATTAATTCCTAACAGATGCTGAGAAAAAAACAAAAACAGACGCGGGCAAAGTTATCTCCACTTTCTTACATCTTTGCTCAACCTAAATTTCTCAGCAACTATAAGCTCTATGATTTTGATTTTAAGATATAATTGTTAGCAAACCGACAATATTGAATACCAATACATTTTCAAATAAATAGAAGTCCATTTTAAGTTTTAATGGTGGTGGGCAATGTTATCACCACATTTAGTCACACTTTCATACTAAGCGATTTGAGGTGCTAGGGCTGTGCCTCAGATGAAAGGAAAATAATAAATTGATTTTGAGGCATTGCATTTTTTATTTTTAAAATTTAAAACAACAACTAACTAAACAACAACAAAAATCAAGAAAATCAACGTTTATAAGTAGTTGGTAGGTAGCGTACCTATTAAATATTAATAAAAAATAAAAAGGTCTCTGCTAACGTAAGCGT